ATAAAGGGGGTGAACTAAGGTATTAAAAAACTGCCTTCACTTATATTTCCTTCAGTACAAGTTCCCTCTACAGATTTGTTTCATCAAATATCCAGTGTATTAAATGAAAACATATAAGCTAGTAGAAATTGGTGCCTTAACCCTGAAATAACATAATCACAGATTAACTACTAAGGAAAAACTAGCTTTTTCTACAGTTTTTCTAAAACTTTTTTCTTCTAAATCTAAGGAAAACACACTTTCTTTTTTTAAGAATGAGCATTTTTGAGGCACATTAAAAAAAAAAGATGGTGATAAAGAGTAATTAAAACAGGCAAGTAGAGGACCTAAAAAAAGGAGAAACGAAATAATTAAAATTGCATGTATGAAAGGAAAGAAGGAAAGAAGTACCAGGAATGGCTGGTTTAATTGAAAAGCCATCCAATTTGAAGAGGACAAAATTAATAAATATTTCTAGCAATAAAGAGATCCATGTATCCAAAGTGGGTATTGTATTAGAAACCAGGCCCATTATAAAGATATTCTTGGAGAAACTGAATCATTGAGTAGGCAAGAAATACTTGCCCTTGAAACATTTCCAGCTTATAACTCCAACAACTCTGAACTAGGAGAGCGCTAGGATATCAAATGATTTTCCAAAACCACCTGAAAAGAAGCCAGAGACGCTCCAGGGTTTATTTTTTTTTAAAGAGCTTAATATCTATTCTACACCAAAAGTACATTGCTTCTAGCCTCAACAGGGAGTTTTCTGCCAAGACTGCAGGAAAGTAAAAAAAATCCAGAACACAGAATATTACACTCAATTAATTACACACTTAATTGCTCTCTTCTTTTAACAGCCTAATGAACAGAGCAAGTTTCAGTTTCAGTATGTATATGTAGCCCAAAGTTGCAAGTCCAGTAAAGGAGACAGGACTGATTTGAATTGTCTGTGCTAAGATCTGACATGTTCGTGTAACCAGCAGTAAACACTCAGAATAAATAACGTTTATGCCCCTTGCTTTACACCCAGAGCATCCAGGAGCTAACATGTAGGGTTTTTTTCTGTACAACCTGAAAAGAGAACATTATATGTCACGGAAGCTGACAGCCTCAATTAAACGTAAGAGAATCCGTCTCATCTTAGATCACAGGCCAGTGGACCACCACGTCTCGGTGAAGCTTCTTCCTCTCTTCACTTCTTTGGCCAGGACCTGGTTGCACTATTGACTCAACTTACATTTCTGAGTCAGTAGTCTGAAAAGTATCCCAAGGCACACACAACTTTCATTTCAGCCTTCCTGAGGCACACATCAAAGTGATATACCAGGAAGCCAGCTGGCAAGAAGTAGGTTCCAAATGTTTGCATAAACTGCAAGTTAACTATTAAACTATTGGCAAAGAGCCCAATTCCAGTCAGAGGCACTTGCCCTGGTTAAAGCCCAGCAAAATAAAACAAAAACAAAGTCTCTAAGCTAAGCCACTCAAGATGTTACCTACGTAAAAGAAATATTTCATTTTAAGGGTCAGATTCAATTTGTCTTTTACTCGCTCCCTGCACTGTGTACCTGCAGAAGGCATCTTCTTGCCATTTAAAATCAAACCTGCCTGGCCTTTCTAGTAAACCAAATATCACCTTCTTTTCCCTCTACTAACAGCTTTGCACACAAAGAACAACTGTGGTGATTTTTTTTTTTTTTTAAAGAAAAGCATAGTTCTCTCAGACATTCCTAGTCTCAAATGTCATATCTATCTTGTTGAAAATTCTGCAGAAAAAGCGGAAGCATGCCATTTCATTTATGGACAATATTATGATACCCATTGTCAACTCTTTTGTAATCCTGAAGTTCGAGAGGCAGTCATTTTTTGGTTTTGTGATGGAAACTTAGCTTTGGCATTAACAATGGAGAGAATGGGCACATGTACACAGATAATTCAGTCAGACATGAGCTCAGTCAGACCGTACTCCAAGCTGGCCGGACACGAGCCAGCTCTAGTTCACAAGTCATGTAGCTGTGTTAGCACAGCACTGTGCCCACGCTAATAAAACCTGCTGAGAGGCAGGGTATATTAGGCTGGACACAGTCCTACACTGTCTGGCCAACTTCAATCAAGGACAGAGGATGCTGGGTCTGTCTGCACCCATCTGCGTACATACGCACTCCTGCTCCGTAAGACTTTGACTTCTGTGCATCTCTTCTTCTGAAGATTTTTTTTTTCTTATTTTGTAACCTAGAAGGGCTAGAGCACAGCACCATACATTTGACATTTTAAGTATCCTCCTTGACCATAACCACGGTAATTCCTTGTAGCTGTTCCAGTGAAGACTTAAAAAAAGAATAATTACTAGCACCACAGGGCAATGAGGGGCTAGGGCAATCGAATGGATTCTATTTACGTAAAAGTACTTCCAAAAGCTCTGAAACGCAACTGTCCGTTACAGTAGTAACATTTCCCCCAGCCATTTATTCTGTTGTGGAATTCAAGAATTAGAACTCAGCTCTTGTCAACATCTCAAAAACAGAGGACACATTTTAAGTAGTATTCACGCCTATCTCAAAGTAAACAAACAAATAGAAAAAATTAAGCTATTCATTGGAAAAAACGGTGAATCCTAGTTCTTAGAAAAAGCCAGAAAACTAGACTATGAAAAGAGATCAGGTAATACAGCAATTCACTAGTTCTTTAAAGTGTTGCTCCAAAGACACATGCAACTAAACTCATCTTTCCCTGTGCAAAGAAATTATTCAGTGTTCCAAGGATGGAAAAAACCCATGTCTTAATAATCTGACATAGAAACCAAAGGACAGGTGTGCATCTCTGAGTGCAAATAACTAGCCCAAAAGATCAAGGAATAAAACTGTAACAAGAACATGTTAATAACATTGAGTTTTCCTTAATAACAAATGCCCTGGAGCCGCTTAAGGCTGACACAACTTCTCCATTTTATATTTTCTTCATTTAAAAAGGAGATTAAAATAAACCAAAACAGCCAACGAAAACAGATTTAGTGAGCTACATACTTGATTTTTAGGAAATGCAGTAAGAAACCCTTCAATTACACAATGCTATCTGTGCCAGCCCTTTCAGTCTTGCCTGTGAAAAGGCAGACAGGGTAAAAAAGACAGTTACTAGAGTGTGAGACTTCTGTCTCTATTTCAAAATAACTTCTTCTCACTACCTTTAACTTTTCTATTGTCTAAAATAAGCATTCCATGTTTTGAAATGAATTATGAATCATGCCAGTATTTAAGGTATCTTCAGGAGCCTTCAAACTCAAAGCCATTAATGTGAACTGGACAAGTTTAGCTTATTCAAAAAGCAAACTTGGTCTGGGCAGTACCTTTTGAATTAAATTTTAAATTTTCTTATACACAACAGTATTTCAAAAATAGAACTCATATTTGGATTTATGCTTTAACATTCATCATTTGGGTCCATTTGTATACTCTCGTGTCACTGTGAATGTAAAACCCATAAAAAGGTACGATCTAAATAAGTTCAGGCAGACTCAGGTACCCATAACCAGAGAACGGTGACAAAGGAAGATTGTTTAAAGAAAAATTTGTGTTAATTTTCATCAGAATAGCCTGCATGCTGCAAAAATACTAGATAGTATTAGTCAGTATTTAGGTTTGCAATTAATGTCCATTAATTATGATCTGAGATCTAATATAGAGTGCTTCTATTTCTTAGCTAAAAATTACTTATCTGATTTCAGAGACATGAATTCAGTATTCACAGAGGATTCTACAAGAGTGACATTTTTGAGAAAGTAAAAAACAAGTATTTTTCATTTTGATTTACAATATGTGCAAGAACACTCAATAATACTGGCTAAAACAAGTTCTAACAAACATTCATTGCTAGTGACAATCAAGACAATGAAATAATTTTTTGGCTAAGTGGCAATGTTGGATACTCACCTCTAATGTAGTATAGCTGTAAAGTTCATATATCATGCACACCTGCGCTAAAAAAAAAAATCTCTGCACAATTTTCAGAGAGAAGCTGAACCTTACCCTTAGTGACAGAAGGAATGCTTTTTCCATCTGAATTATTTAAATTGAGTAACTAGTCCATTCAAGTTTTAAAAACTCAGACTGAAAATATGGGAATTTGTCTTCCCCAATTCATTAATTAAAAGGACGACAGCTAAAAAAATGCTTGGAGAGCTACTCTCTAAATCTTACAAAGGACAAGGTAAACAGAAACAAAGTGCTCAGCTTCTAACTACAGCTAGTATTTTGTCTTAAAATACAAAATATTTGTTGGTCCCTCACCCTTTGTTATCCAAAGCATATATATATCCTACTATTTATTTCCTACCAGGCCAAAAAACCCCTAGTGAATGCACTGTAGAATGAAAAACAAAACAAGAGTGAAATGCAGGTGTAGTTTTCTGTCCCATTCCCTAACACTAGAAGGCTTGCTGTTAAGTCTCCCTAAAACTAATCGGCAGACATGTAACATACAGTTAACCTACAGTTAAGCCTTTCAAGTGAAGAGCTGCTCAAGAGAAAAGCTGCAATTCAAGTAGGGCATTGAGCAGAAGCTACTGCCAAGAGCCATACTTGAAGCCACACATTAACATTCCTTTGTCAGAACAGAGAAGAATATTTACTGCCATGACTATGTCACTATATACCGCATATTGAAGACAGTAATGAAATATTTCATAACAAAGCAAAATTGTCTTGAACGTAAGCGATACAGTCCCTATTTAGGAGCTCTTTTCTGATCAGCTATGAAAAACTACTTTTTCCAGCAAAGCTCCACTTGAATTTCCTACTGCCACTAGCCAGTTTTGGAACTGGTAGCAAAAGGCAAATTACAGGCTGTTTTTTTAGTAATTCAATATGTTAGATGAATAAATTATGGTTAGCTTAAATTTACTTCATCATGAAAAGTCAGAGAACGTAGATGTGAATTTGCAGCAAATTTTCCAGCATGAATATTTGAATGGCACCAAACAATTGAGTTTTAAAAGAGCAATATCAGCAACAATTTGTATTACTTACTGGTATATAATAGATATTCATTTTAGGGGCTTCATTGGCAGTCATTAGCATTCCTAAAAAGAAATTTCCACATTTAAAAATACTGGTCACAAAAGGATAACACTACTTTAAAAAAAAAAAAAAATAATATATATATATACACACTTGAGGCGGGAAAGAACCCTTCATGGGTTAGGGGAGGAGGGGTGAAAGCACACTAACTGTAGCTCATACGGGTACATATTCTTGGCCTGCAATGGAACAACTAATTGGGACCCATAATAAATTGTTGTGTCAAACACTAAGGAAAGAAAGGTCTGATAGCAGCACAATTAACGAAGCTTCGTTTCCTACATATTCATCCCCTTTTGTCCTCTATCTTAACAACTGTTCAGCACCACTTCAAGCAACACTAAGTCCTGACAACTGCAGGCTGTCAATTTTCATAATAAATTCAAATAGTTCATCCCATAATACCATTTAGAGAAATTCCAGTTAGTATTGCACTTAAAACATACCTTGGGTATAAACTTGTATTATTAATACAAGGGGGCTTTGTTTTTTTGTTTTGCTTTGTTTTGTCTAAACAAAGTCATAAATCATAACATGATTTATTCGTATTTCATTTTGGGAAATCAGCACAACAGCAGCTTGTCAACACAAAATGAGAGTCAAGATATTGTGGCTTCAAATGCAGTAATATTAGTGATATTAGCCAACCGGGGCAAATGTAAAATTTCAAATACCTATGAATGTACCTAAGAAGCACCATGAATAAGGGTTGCAAACACTCCAAATATAAAAAACTACTGTAAAAATACTAAAATCCATGGAAAATCTCCAACTGCCACAACACCTCACTTAAGTTCAAAATGAGAAATACTCTCAATTTCCTTCTACATAAGAGAGTAACAAGGACATTTGGCATATACTTTTACATTTATCTCAATTTTGTCTTTCCAATGTAGCTGATCACCAGGTAACACAAGAGATGGAATATGAAGAAGAAAAGAGCAATCAAGTTAGATAACATTCTGATCTAAAAGTACTGTAACATATGCCACCGAGACTATGAATAATTGGGTCAATTACTACACACCCAGAGGGTAGAAATATAATTTACACCCAACTAGAGGAACGCAATTAACATGGGTGGAGTAATCCTTCCTACCTAATCCTTTCATTAAAAATACACAACGCAGCTGGACTTATAATGTCAGAAAAAAGGGGGCTTGCTTTCCTGGCAAAGCAAGAAATTTGTGAAAGCTTAGTCAGCAAACTAAGGCTAAAAACCATACCTGGAAAGGTTTGCAGGCAATTTAAGGAAAAAGCAAGAATTTACAGTATTATACGCATATATATACACACACACAAGATGTACTACATGTACATACTATAGTACATAGATTACATGTTCCCTTAACATACCAGCATGCTCGCTACTATTTCAGGAGACAAAGCATTTCTCCATTGACTGAATATGAATCACTAGAGATAAAAGGGTAGAAATTAATTCTGCAGGTGCTTCAAAGATGACAGTAAAGGGAAAACCTCCTCTTTGAGAGTCTTCCACTAATAATTAAAGGAGGGAAAAAAAAAGACTTTGGAACAGTACATGGGCGTATACTACAGGGGAAATAAAAGAATAAAAAAAGGGAAAAACTCTGTGAAAGGGGAACTCTACTCCACACATCTTCATTGTTTCAGCTTGTTAGTTTTAACCAATTTTTATGGGAAGAGACACCACACCCTAAAAAACTACACAGTGGCCTAGCCTGATCACATTAAGAGGGAAATAAATGAGAATTCTTTTTTCAGGGAAAAGGTTTTAATAAAACCATCTTCGGAAAGTGGTCTACAACACAGTACCATCAATTTAAAGGAATGAAAACACGACTATGAAGCGGTAGTAAATGGGAGAAGCAGTTTTAGAAAAAGCAAATTTTTTACTTTTAAAAAAATATTTTACAATAATTGAAACAAATGAGGCACAAATTTCTATACACTGAAGATGCTGTTAAGTTTCGTTTATATTGTACAACTTAACTGAAGCTGAGTCAAGGCTACTCAGTAAGTGGTAAACCTTTTTTCTCCTAGCCCCATTCTGTGCACGTGAGATCAGAGAAAAGAGATTCACAACTAGTTTAAGAGATCCACTAATGTTTGTCATGATGTAGTTTGGTCAAAGATACACAAGGGTTTGCTTCCCTGAAAGGTAGTAGTACTGAAGCTAGTTGGTAAAATAATTTAATTAAAAAACCACAACTACAACAAAACTCCCACAAAACTACTGAAAAAGAATAATTCACATTATAGTGATCCACCGTTTAACATAAATATTTCAGAATGTTTTATGTTACAATGTAGTTTCACTTTTACAACTCAATGCAGTGTTAAAATTATTTCATTACTTCACATGCAGCAGACATTTGGACGTAAAACAGAGCTGCAACTAATAGAAAGTATCAGCTACCTTCTGGGATTTTAAAACAAAACTTGATTATTACAACTGTTGTAATAAAATTATAATTATAAAATGGAAAAGTAAAATGTCTAGACATACTAGACAACAATTTTCCCCAAACAAAAGCATTCTAAACGTAGATTCAATGACTTCTGGTTCATGACATTTCTGAAATTACTCTCTTCAATTTGAAACAAAACATGTATGAAACAAATTCTGAATTTTGACCCACATCAGTGAAATAAAATATGAAAGCATTTCCTTCCATGTAATGATGAACTGCAAAGCTGTTTCAAGCAAATATAGGAGGAAAAGGGTGAGATTAGGATACGGGCTTTCTGAGCAGCAGTGTCACACGACCTGTTGGAGCACAAGCTAGGCAAATACCTCTTGGGCTTCCTGTGCCATGCTGGCTTCATGAACATCCAGGGGTGCTCTGAGAATGCTGGGGCACCAGTGACAGCACTGAGCCATAGCCATACCGGTACTTATATTGTATTTCCAGCTCTCCACAACTGCAAGTTCCTATCACTGAAAGTATTTCCGTATTTCCAGATGTTCAAACATAATTATTCTTTAAATTCCGAATGAGCACGAGGTGGTGCCAGGCATCTTAAAATCTGCAGCAACGGTATTTATGACAAACATGCAATGCACCACCTCTTCCCTTAAGTCACTTAATTTTCACTGCAACATGTTCTAGTTTTTCGCCTCTGTCTTCCATATTATTATAAAACACAATCTAGTGTTCACCCCACAACAGTTCTTATCACAAGACATTCACCTGCTCCCCTAACAGACATGGCTGATGAAAGAACAAGAAGAAAAGCGGAACTGACTTAAGGTGGAGACGCGGGACACAGGACTGGAATGCGCAGTCTAGATCACAAACACATGAAAAAGTAATGTCTAATAAGCAACATTAGGGAGATAAGTGCATTCAATTCTTTGCGCTACAAAGTTCTTCCTGCAGAGTCTCATGAAAATCTTCTCTGCAAAAGCACTTGAGGCATGTCTGCATACCACAGAGGCTACAGAGCGTCCATACTAACATCCATCCTTGTAGATATTCAAACTTGACTGGTTATGTCCTGAGCAACCTGATCAGACTTTGAAGTTGGATCTAACTTCAAGTCTTTGAAGTTGGATCTAACTTCCAAGTTCGGCCCTGCTTTGAGCAGGAAATATACGACCCCCAGGGGTCCCTTCCAACCTAAATTATGCTAAGATTCTACATTATCAAATAAATAACTTGTTTCACTCCCTGTCATGCGCCCTTCATTATCAATGCTGCATGGATGTCAATTCACTCCTGGGTTCTCTTTTGGATAAAATCAATAAGCTTATCAAAGGTGAAACCTGGATGAAATGCTAAAGATAATTCACTTCAATGAATTCTCTCTGTAGCCACTGTGGATGAGAGAAGACCAGGTTTGTCTGCTTCCATGTCGCACAGTCCACACTTTTACCACACAGTTATTCTGAAACATCCCAGAAGGAACTCATACATACAACCAGGGCACCTGAGGTGTACCCTCAGCGCCCTGCCATAAAGTCCCTGTTTTGGCGAGCTTTGATTCTTTGCTTACATTATTTTTGGCACTTTGATCTCGGAAAAACAAATACACGGAACACAAATAAAAATGGTACTGGTGCCTTTCTGAGGGCTCAGAAAAACCTAGCTCAATTCCTGAGTAGCAAAACACCAGTGTGTTTCAGAGGGGACTAAACCTGAGCAGCATGGAAGCGAGTTAATATTGTCATCAGCAAGGTCCTGCAGACCATTACAGTTTTGCTGCTGCATAAGATCAAAAATGCCCACCATCTCAGTAGGGATCAGTATTTCAGTGCTCATCTTACCGACAAAAAAAAAAGGACACATTCTTAACTGAAGTTGGCAGAAAAGACAAGATAAGTTTTAACTTGTTAGAAATCTCAAACTCGCTTATCTACAATCTTGAATTTGAGCTGCTAGTATGAATCAAAATCCAAGTCGCTCTGTCTTTACTGCTACCTCTCTCTAAAATGAAGATAGTATCAGAGTTTGCAACATAGGCATTCTCTGGAACAAGAATTTTGTCCTGTGCCATCCTAGTGACCCTAATTTTTATTTCATCTTTTTCAGTACTGCTTTCTAAAAAGGAAGTAGGTGTCACATACTAGTTAAGAACTAAGCAACTCAGATCAAGCAGAAAAAATTAAGGCCAGTTGCAATCTGAGGTACAACCGAAGCACACGTGCACATACAAGCACGATTTTGTAAAATATTTTTACTCCTAAGGTAGGATCTGGAAACTGTGCTTAAAAGTGACCCTCAGTTTTGACCTCTAAACATAACGTTATGAGACAGAGCAAATTTGAAAACAGTCACAAAATGCATGCAAATCTGTGCACTTAGGAATCTACACTTAAAACCACAGTATTCAACGTCAGGGAGGGCACAATAAGTGCTATTACCTAAAACAAGAAAAGATCAAATAGTTGTAAACACTTGTAAAAATTTGTAAACTTGCTGTAAAGAGATTTTTCCTACCTCTAGAAAGCAAGCTCTAACTCACCTGGGACTTAGCCAAGACAAAAGGCCAAAATTCCTATTCTTATGAAATGAAACACTTCAGGTATTTGAAAGGGCAAAAGAGGTCAATCACTCAATAGACAGCACAGCAGCTCCTCACTGCAAAGAGGCTCTGATTTAATACAGATGCAGAGGAAACAATGACACTAACTGACAAGTAACCATTTTTTCCTAGCTCTGTCATAAGGAGGAAAGTGGACCTAATTTGTATCACCTGAACAGAAAAAAAAAAAAGACCACAGCTTGTGTTAACACAAGCTTTCCCTTTTGAACTTACTAAGACATTAATGTATCTAACATACCTGAATTTGGATACAGGCAGACATCATTGATATCATATTCTGGCTCCATTGAAGTAAATATCTTCCCCTGAAATTGTAGGAAGAAAATATATTATAAAGAACTCCAAACAATATAATTAAATTTAGTAAATCTAAACATTAAGAATAGCCATTATAGAAGCTAAGAAATATAATGGAATAAAGATGGAACAGATTTTGCAGAACAATAAAATGTTATTAAAGTATCTGAACATAACACAAGGAACTCAATATTGTATTTTGTCTCTGATCCGATCTCTTATAAAGAAGTGTAGCCCATTGGTTATTGAAGACACAGCAACATACCGTGGCACTTCTGATTTCTCAGCTCACACTTCTGTGTTCAAAATATGTGTGTCAGATCTGCTTTATTTTATTTTATGCAAAAGGTGGGGTGAGGTCCATAAGTTCCCAGCACATTACCACTGTAACCCTCTCTTTGTTCAAGTCTGAATGTGGTAGTTTTAAATCATTTTATTTTGGTAAGTATCATTAGCTGAAATGATGGATTGGGAGTGGAATTTGATTCTGCAGCTTGGTTCCTCCACCTTGCTCATATCTACATAAAATGAAACACAGCTCAGCACTTTATCTGTAATTTATAAACTCAGTATTAAAGAGGTCTAAATATAAAACAAAAGTAGTAAAAGCATCCAGTGGTATCTAGCTTAGATCAGAATTGAAGTTATAAAGGTTATTTAAGAAAAAGTAAAAGCAGGAAACAACATTCTCAAAAAAAAATAAGAATTGGAACAGAGTCTGAAAAACCCAGACAAAATACAGGTGCTCTTATAAGCCAACACGCAAGACAGCCAGTAAAAGGAAGAGTCTCTAAGAACTGGGCCACAGAATCTGAAGCATGAGAGTACATGCCTACACGGTTCTAAATGAGGGACAGGAGCAGAGCAAATTTTGATCCTATTCCTCTTTTTTCTTTCCCTGCAGCAATCCCACCTACCTTTCTGGGCCCTTCCTTTCCCTCCCAGTTACATGCTGTTACCCCACCCACCTCTGGTCTCTCCCCGATGATTAATAAGAGTCCTCCCCCACCCCGGTCTTAGCAGACAAAAGCCTCACGCTCCCCACCCCAAGGCACGTCTCAGCATGGGGCTATTCTGGTATCAAAGCCATATGCTCTCCACCCCGCAGTCTGCCTCTGCAGTTGGTTCCCAGCCAGAGATAGTCAGGAACCAACATCTGGGAGAGGTGGAGCCAGCTGGAACATACTCTAGGAAAGAGTCCAAAGCTATCTTTGCCTTCCAGCAGTAAGAAACCCTCCCTTTTCCCACTGCAGAGGCCACCTGACAAACCTTGCAGTGTTTCATTCTCAATGAGGGAAACATATATACCTAGGAAAAACGGAGAGAGGCCACTGCAGATGTTTTAAATAATAACCAATAATTTATTTGCTCTTTTAAACAATATAAAGTAACTGCTTACAAAAAACTGCTTGCAATCACAGAAAAAATAAAAGAGGCTGTTGAAAGTTCATGACAAAGCCCAACAATAGAGAAATGACTGCCTAAAATAGTCAGAAAGAAGTGCCTCTAAACTACCATAACTGCTCTTGATATGTTTCGTTATAAAGCTAGAAAAGCACAGATGGAGCATGTTTTTTAGAAGGAATACAATGAATAAAGATAGCCCCTCAAACCGAACCAAGCTACAGTAGTATTACTATGAATCTATAGGGTAACATATTTTGTGCAAGCTGCATTGACAGAAAGATAAGAAAAAGAACAGCATAATATAATGACAGAAAGTCTTAATGAAACTTAAGAGATTTCCACTTCACTTAGAGGTGCAAAAGACAGGGATAGAGATGCTGCCTATTGCAACATAATCCATTAATACAGCATAGTACACACTGCTATTTGGATCTAGGCATAGTATCTGCTTCAATATCCAAATAGGTTTCTGTGAAAATAAGCAGTACCTAATTTTAATAGATCCTAAACTAACTGAGCTACCTTTGAAGTCAGCCCTTCTTTGAGCAGGGAACTGGAATGACCATGTTTTCTCTAATGAAAAATCATAACTGAGTGTGTTCAGGCACACTGTGAGAAATACACAAACCAGGGCAATGGCTAAGATACTACTTTTTATGTTTAAATCCTTCTACTGAAAGAAGCATCCTAGGCAGACATGTACAAACAGCTAAAAAAAGTACCTCAGACTATATTCTTATACCTGACAGGCTGTTGAATACCTTCCCAGATGTTGGTCTATTTAGTCAGACAGGACAAAATGCTATGTAAATTAGGACACATTAAAAACCCAACTTCCTACGCTGAATTTCAGCTTTATTATTCAAGCTGCATGAAAAAAAAAAAGAAAAAAAAATCTGAATGCAGCAACATCAGAACACTTACCGTATCTTTATTCCACATTTTTATGATTCGAGAATCTGCAGAGATAATTAAATCCAACTGATGCTGAAACTGAATTGACTTAATAGGCAGGCCATAGTAGTGATCTTTGACTATTAATGGATTACTAGACCGGAGATCATATAATAAAACCTTGAAGAATAAGAGACAGATTAAACTTACAATATTGTAATATCACGAGGAAGTCATGCACACCAGATCTTCAATAAAGATTTAACTAAACTTGAGATTTTTTACTTAAACACATGGACAGGATTTATGTAAAAGAAATAATTTTAAATTCTGAAAACAGCTTAAGTGACAATGTATTTTAACCTCAGAATGCTACAGTCTAAAAAAAATTAGGAGCAAATTTAAGAGCTCATAATCTTTCTAAAGTCTTTTTAATTTCTATTGAAAAAATGAATCGTTTTCAAGGCTTAGTATTCCTTAATTACTAATATTTCACTTCCAAATTTTTGTGCTGTTCTTGCAAGATTTAAATTTTCAGACTCCCTTCCATATTCAGTGAGTATCACTTTCACTCAGTGAAACACCACAGAACATCATTTTTTATTTTAAGAAAAGTAGAGAGTACGGGCCCTGTCTTCCAGAAACCTGCATTTTTATCTCCAAAGTTTCCTATGGAACTTGAGAAAGACCTTAAATTTTTCACAGGCAAAGCATGAATACTAAAGCATAAATACTTGGGGAAAAAATATTATCAGTTTGTTTGATAAAAAAATATAATCTCCAATAAAACTTGCCTGACACATATACTAACATTATCACAAATACAACTCTTACATACTTATCTGCTCTTGAACAAGCTACAGTTTTCTAAGCTCACCAAAATACTGATGGAGGCAGAAAAAAATCCCCATACTCTACTTTACAAATATGATGGTAACAATGAATAAATGAATCTAAATGATCCCTTACAGAAAGATAAGGATAAAAACAATAGTTGAAAGACAATCACTTCTGCTTCGTTAGTCACTATCAAGATAAGGGACAGTATATACGTTGCATTGAGATGGTACTGATAGTCTCAAAAAGCAGCAACTCCCCTGCATACTTGACTCTTAAGTTATAAGAAAACTGCAGAATTTGAAGTTATATAGTATGTAGGTTGTGATGATTTTAAGTGGTCCCTACATTATTCTGAAGAGCAAGACCATTTGACAAAATTAATTTGCAGTTTAAGAATGACTATCACTACTCTATACACATAATTTATGCTCTTATAAATACTTTTATTAATATATATTTACATTACAATAAATGCACTCAACGTATGATAGACCTGGACTGGCATTTGCAAGAACAGGATCTCCTAAGAACTACTATAGATGAAGTTAAGTCTACCTGCCCAGTAGATGTTCCAACAGCCATATTCAAAGCTCCATCAAATTTCAGTGCTGAAATGGATGGTAAAGCATCTATCCTGCAAAGCACAATGCTTATAGTTAGATATTCTTTCAATAAAGGCTGCAAATAATTTTTTCAATGTTAAAAATAGCTAAGATAATTAACGTAAATTAATTTACAATTATCACTCAGAAATACTACTTCAAAAAGCTGTATTGTTTGCATTCACAACTTGTCGTTGTATAGAAAATTAGGCACTACTACTCAGATCAATAACTCCTCCATGACTAAGAAACCCCTTTATTCACACTAGTAATGAGAACAGAAGACCATGGGTAGGTGTTTCTAAAAGCAAAACTTCTGAAAAAAACAGAACACACTTTGAAAAAGTAGCCTTTACTCACTCTGTGTCTGCTGTCACACTGCTTAAAGCACAGTCCAACAGCCCAACTCGATTTCTAGTTCTAGGATCCCAGCATTCCACTTTACCCTAAACAGTTCAGAAAATATGTTTCAGGCTTATGCAACAGATGTCTGGTATTCAGAATACGTTTAAGTAAAATTATGAATTATTTAATCTATGAATAATTAATCAAATTTCCCAGGTTGACATGAGTTGTTCTAATAATGGCACACGTTCCACACATTTCAGTTACATGTTTTAAAAACGTGATCTGAATGAAAATCATTAACACCAAATTTCCAAAGATTAATAGGGTATACATGCTAGCTAACTTCTACAGATGGCTATACTGTAAAGCAAGATAACATTATTTTCTCTCCCATCTGCAAAATCTCAAGCATCTCAGCAACCGAGGTAGCTCAGAAATTGTATCTGCACTATGCTTTAAAAGGTTATCTTGTTTAATGGATCTATACGTAATGTAGCAAATGATATCAAACTAATTAATTAGGTTCCTGTCATGATTTCTTCTTATCCTCATGCAAACGAATATAAAAAAAAGAAACAAACACTACTGCCCTTTTTATAAAAGGAATGCAAACATTTACCTCAGCCGTCCCCATAGCAAACAGGAAGTGTACAGGATTTATGTCACAGACGTTACTCTCTCTAAAACAGAAAAAGGAACAAGTTTTATGACTTCAGAATAATTTAACACATGAACAACTAAAAAGATTTCTGTAATCATGTATGCTATTGCTCAGCCTGGAAAAGCAAAAGCTGGAGGGAGGGAGAGAGAGATGGCCACCTAACAGCAGCTTCCTATACTTAAGAGGAGATTACCAAGAATTTGGAGCCATTAGACACAATACTGAGTACTTGAAACAGGTAAGGTTCCAACTGGATGCAAGGATAATATTTTTATGCCTGCAGATAATTAAGCACTGGAACAGGTTGCCTATAGAGGCTGTGGAATTTCCATCCCTGGAGTTTTCAAAACACCCTAGGAAAATTCATCTGAATTCAGTGTGACCATGCCTTGAGCAGGAGGCTGGGCTCTGAGGTTTTTTCCCAACCTGAACGATTCTGTGTTTCTCTGCCCATACCCACCACCTACCACTAGGCCTTTCCTTATCATTCTGCTCTACTATTTCTTTTAACGGTTATGTCAAAACGTGTTCCTGATCACTTATGTTCTGAAGCTTATATCTCCAACATATTCTGATGAACGGCCTGTCTTCCTTTCCCTCCCCCAGGTATCCTGTTTCTCAACAGGGCACCCAGGAGCCCTGTATTTCTCCAGCAGTTCTTCCAAAGCACAAATATTTCTCTTCACGCCACTCATCCTGGCACCTTCCAACTTCTTCCATTCAAAGCCCTCCACCTCTAATTCTATAACTCATCCGATTCCCCTACTCTCACAACCTTCTCACAACTTCAAGTCTCATATCCCTAATTCAGATTTTACACAAGACCCTTAGCATTCCCACTCCAGGATTTTCCTGGGTGTTTTTTTGCTACTGCTCAGTTTCTGTAATTATGCCTGCCCAAATATTCCTTCACCCATTAAACTATCCTACCCACTGAGCACCAGCTGTTGCCCACCAACTAGCTGCTTTATCTAGTCAAGTCTGTTCTTCTCATCTGCCTCTCCCCACATAAAAGAAGCCCAGCTCCTGCTCTGGTAGGGTTTTCAAAAGAATCAGACACATGCTGGAGATATAAAAATTCTCTTTGGGCTACACCAAAAGCAGAAGGACAAAGACATGCCTGGGAAAGTACATACCCTGTGGGTAGATCTCTATATGATGGCTAAATGGAGCAATAATGGCAAAGTTTTAATGAAATTCTATTAAGATCAAGTTATATAATACCTACAACTCTGTATTAAGCAATTTTAAAATATCCACAAAAGAAAACTCAATTAAAACACAAAAACTAGAACAAAGAATTACAGAACATAAAATAAAATGAGGCTCAGACTCAGCATATGATCCTTTTCAACTCTACAATGCATTTGGGCAGTATTCAGATACAGTACTGATGGTGAGCATGCTAGTAGTTTGCTTCCACCTGGTGGAAAGAAGACAGATAGATGTCGGACAACTTACGAAGCGTCAGTTTGCAGGGAGTTGAGAAACCTTCCTTGTTCCAGATTTAGCCTGTATACTTCAGAACTATAAAGAAAAAAAATCAAAAATTACTCCTTTCTCTTACAAAATACTGAAAAATACTGTTATAAGTTAGGAGGAGTTACGAAGATTCTTGCTGACAGCCTAATTTTACCAAATACACAATGTTCAGACTTCATGTTCTAAAACATAAGACACATCTATCCTTCAGTGTTAAAAATACAGAGAAAAATGTGCATGTTCACCAAAGATATTTGTTACACTGCAATATCCCACCAATTAATATTTTTCCAGGGAAAAGATTCATTAATTCCTTTCTTAAGATCTTTTAATTTCCTATGATTTACGTTACATCTTGAATTGCCACTTATTTTGTTTGAAACCCTAAAGACCTCATTTTATTTTTACTACATCCTCTCACAAACTCAATTAATTATTTCATGTGATTTGACTCACACTTTAACAGCAACAAAACACCAACCAGGATAGAAAAAGTTATTTAATTTTCCTTACTTAGATGCCAACCATTTTTTAAAAATGGTATGCTGAATTGCAATTTTTAGAACAAATTTGCAAATACATGATGTACCTTGTTTAAGAATCAAAGAAAGAAGTCTTAAAACAGTACAGGAAACTGAATTAATCTTAGTCTTGCCATACTTTCCACTCTTCACAAGCTGTCTCCATTATTAATTTGGAATGAATTGCCACTTCTAATTTTTAATTTTTCTGATATTTTAATATTCATTTTATTCCTGGAAAACACTGATAACAAAAGTGAAACAAAATAATCCACTTAATACCTTGCTCCTACAAAATACAGGTCACACGATGGATAGTGATAAGAGAAATCTCTACCAAATTTTGGTATTCTTGTCCTGTAGTAATGGCCATGTTGCGAATGAAACTCCACAAATCTGCCACACTGCAAGAAGACAATCTGAAAATAAAATAGAAAGAACTGAAACATACAGGAGCAGACAACAATCTCCTCAACTCATCTTACAGCACAAACTCCAGTGATTTTTTTCAAGCTCACACAGGTTTATCGCAACCCATTTAAACCATTTCTACAAAAATGATAGAATTGACTAGTGCTTCATCATTCTCACTAGCCACAGCAAAGCACTTTATTAATAAAGATTAAATGAATATTCATAAGAGTATATGCAATACCCTGAAAGTGACTCTGCAACCAGAAGCAGTATAGCCATCTCGGTGTTACGCTGCACCAAAAATTAACATCTGTACATCTTTCAGACACCAGAGTTAATAATTTCTTCCAGGTACAATGCCATGCAGATGCCAATATCTTCATAGGTACTAAGCACAGGTACTATACATCCTGATGCACAGCAGCATTCCAATAAATGACACAAACCACCTTTGTGCATTTTTTTGTTGTTTGCCAACTGAATAAACGCATTGTTTCTTTCTGAAACTTAGACAAACATCTCAGTCCTGGAAGAGCCCACAGGGAGGCATTACTAGAAGGCTAGATCTATACCAATAAACAAAATAGGCCAGAACCTGCCCCTGTAGTCCTGACGGCAAGTTAACATGGCACAACTTATATCCATACGATGGAATTCTTCCCACTCCAAACAGAGACAGTATCACCCACACCATCAGTTACACTCATATATGGATAATCACAGGCTAACTCTTCACTCTGAGCCTCACCCTTATTCAGCTTAGATTAGAAAAGTGCTAGTTTAGTTTAGAATATGTATAGTCCATGCATCTTCTAGAAGTAGTAGATAATGAAGATTTTAAATTTCCTACTGGTGGACTACATTGTTAGCAATGCAAATAAGGATGAGAAGCTCAGGAAAGGCAAGGTACAAAAGTTATTTTGCATCTGTCATCTTTATTTATATAGCTGTATATTCTTCCCTTACAAGACATGGAGAAAGTACTGACCTGGGCTAGTACTTCATGCCCATTTATCATTAAGTCCCCCCTTACTTATGCTTCTTCTGATATCAGAAAGTGTTTCAACTTTTCCACTTCAACTTTTATTCACGGACTCGCTCATCTTGGTCCAAGACCAAGTAGAGTATCATCTTTCAGCAGTGTAACTACGATTTCATATGAGAGTACAGATGCAGAGTTGACATTATACAATTATGTTTTTCATATACATCCCAATCAATCCTTTGTGTGCCTAATGCCTTTACGCTTTTAACTGGATGTTTACAACAAGCAAAGCTCTTTATTTATCCATTTGAAACAATGCCCAGATCAAATCTTTTCTCTATCATCATGGCAAAAGAAGAAATGTCTGCATCTTCATGCAGTACAGAAGCTAAATAAACTATGAGAAGAACATAAAATTAAACTGTATTTAATTTAAAAATACCAGTATCACATGCTCTTAGTTCACTATCAGTAAGCCATTAGAAACCTGTTACCAGGAAGAGAGAAGATGCAATTTGCTTTCAATGAGAAAAGTGAATTTTCTTCTCACCCACTCTACCTCCAAAAACATTCTAGAAAGTTTTTGATAGTTGCCAAAAGCAATCAAATATTCTGCTAATGATTGCCTTACCTCTAATAATTTTCTATTTTAAGATAAATTTCTACTTGAAGACATTTGTATCCTCTTTCATTAGCAGTGGATACAACTCACTGTAAATCATGTTTGTCTTTCCTTCATGCTAAATTAATTTTGGTCACTATAACCTCAGAGTAGCAAAAGCATAGCCACTGGTGCGTGGCAAAAATACTAAGCGGAAATATGTGTCTTTTTGCAAAAGGCTGTGGGGAAAAATGATATCACTCTCTCCTAAGTCCGAAAATTAGTCCAAGTCTAAAACTTTTAAGTTTAAAACTTAGGAGAGCACAGAAGTGTAACTGGCCTTATGGACACCAGCACGAATGAGAGTCAACAGCATGTTCTCACTGTGAAAATCCAAATAAGCCTCAAAAGGCAACCTTACAAGGACAGCGGGAACAGACTGGAGAGACGCTATTTTCCCTGCGCTACTAAAGCATGAGGCAGTGTCTAGTGTTGGGTGCCCCAATTCAAGAGGGATGTTGAGAGCATCAAGGGGGCTACCGAGACAGACAAGGGGCAGAACACAAAACGTACAAAGAAAGGCTGGAAGAATCTTAGCTTGTTTAGTCAGGCAAAGAGCACTCTGTAGGACGACCTAATAGCAGCCAGCAACTGAAGTGCAGTTACAGAAATGACAACAGTCAAATCCTTTGCAGTAGCAACCGTGAAAATTTCAGATTTTCCTGGGCAGGTTGGACAGGAAGGAAAAATTCTTTATGATGAGGTCGTGCAGCATTGCAACAATTTATTCAGTGAATTTGTGGAATGTCCAAGCTTGCAGTTTTTGACAGTCCTGTTCAACCATTAAATGACATCTGAAGGTCCCCTTCCAATCAATATTTTTATGATTCTAAGCATTTCAGGTGTAATTTCTCAAATATTGTTCCCTCTTTCCAAGATGTTCAAAACATTATGACAGCTACCTGAAATTTGTTTTCTTTCTAATGATTTGGTTTTAGGAAAATAAAATTGAAAATAAGGTTGTATTAGGCTGTGAAAGTAGGGCTTCAGTCTGAAATACAGTACCAATTTCAGCTGAAAACACACACAAGCCTTACTGTTTGTAACCAGTCAGAAACATATTTGCGAACACAATGTGTTCCTCAGTTTCCCAAGTCACTGTTTGGTCTGTACAACCAGAAACATTCTCCCACAGACAGACAAGTAGAAGGATACTGTACTGTATCAGTCACCTTCTTCTGCTACTTGAATTCATGCACATTCCTGGAAATCTCACTGGGGAAAAAATTTGAAAAGGCTAAAGCTAGAAGGCTAGACGATAATGTCTCTGATTGAATAGAAATATTTATTAAAACAAACCTCTACCGGAAATGCTAAGGTTTCTTCTCAGAAAAAAAAAGTATTAAAATAAACACTTAACTAAAAAAAAAACCAAACCCAAACCTTGTCCTAATGAAATCAGCAAAATTATATGCTTAAATTTCATATTTAATTTGGATCATAACACCTTGACGAATGAGCAAAGCAAAGTTTACAGGAAGTGGTAACATCTTTTATTACACCAACTCCTGCAGCTGGAGAAAACAGATGAGTTTTCAAGCACATAAACACTTTTCTAGGTGTTAAGCAGAATTCGAAGCAATATTGGACCTGAAAAAGGGTTGATGGTCCTAAGAACTCAACTGTTTCCTTCAGGTACAGCACTTT